ACGTCATCAAAGGTTGCCTAACGCTTTTTTTGCTAATAAATACTTACAGAAAAAGATACAGTCGTGCAAATGGTCTCATTGTGTTCAGCTCGTCAAGGCGCATCGAATGATATACATGATGACCTTGAACTCACGCAACCTTGAGGTCAAGCGACCTGAGGTAACGTGACCTGAAGCCAACCTTTGACCTTGATCTCTCGAGGTCAACACATACATGTTTCGATGCGGAATGACGAGAGAATTACGATGGTACTTTTAGTTTTGGTCTAGCTTGATTACTTCAAAAGCTATTCGTAGAAAACTGTCATCGCATCTATATAGAGCCGCTATTTTGACTATTTTCGACCCCTGTGATGGCTGAGTCAACCTCCAAAATGCTTCAAATGCGTCGTAGGACATGCGTCATTGCTGAATGTAAAGCTGACTCGCCTATAACAAAAATCATGGCCTCAAACTACCACCGGCCAAATTACCCCACACCCCGGCCAAATAACCCTGCTAGTGGGGCAATTTGGCCGCTTTGCAGACCTTTGTAAGACGTCACAATTTCAATATAAGTAGTTACTCTATCATTTCAAGTTTACTGTCCAGGAAAGTAAAATGTATGCCACACCTGTCAGCGTTGAGAAAATGCAGAAATGTGTTGTCGATTTTTAGTTACATCGGTTTCTAAAACCAGTATAACGCCTTTTGGGGCGACTAACGGAGCGAGCGAGAGGGTGGGCCTTGCACGTGCGAAATTGCGAGGGGGTACCCCCAACTGACTTGTGCACGGCACCCTACTAACCGGTCTCTAGCGATGTGCCAAATTTGAGCACAATCGGCCCAGCCGTTCTCGAGATCTGGAAGCGGCACCCTGCACGTGCGCACGTGCAAAATGGGTCCCAACTGACTTTTGCACGGCACTCTATTAATCGGTCCCTAACCATGTACCAAATTTGAGCGCAATCGGTCCAGCCGTTCTCGAGATCTGGAAACGACCCCTGCACGTGCGCACGTGCAGCAGCACCCCAACTCTGGCACATGGATATGCATTGCCTAGTGGGTGCCTACCTACATGCCAACTTTCAGCGCAATCGGCCCAGTAGTTACCGAGATATTGCAACTATTAAAAAAGTGACACCTCTTCGTTTTGCACGTGGCACGTGCATAAGGGGTCACTCACATGCATCGGGAATAGTCCAATACTTGGTAGAAGGAATGAAGCTACCCTACAAAAATTACCGCATGTAAATCGGTCAAGTGGTTGCTGAGATATAAGCGTCGCAAAAGCGTGACCACGGCCGGCCGGCCGGCCGCTCATACTCAGAAATTTCCGTTAATCTAAGGAAAGACTACGCTCGCTTCGCTCGCTCCGTAAAAAGCGGCCAAATTACCCCACTCTCCCCTACTGGTTCTTATTCGAATATTCGGTCATATGCATATCCAAAGTATGCATTGAATGAAGACCACGTGATTGCTTCTTTAAATGGACATATTTGCCAGAAATAACAACATTTTAGAGATGCAAAGTTCGCTTCGCTTGTCTCACTCAAAGTCTCCCTAAGGAAAGTGACACTTATCATAGGGAGGCTTTAAGTGTGGCTATAAGAACCGGGACTTCGAGTCGCCCTAAGATAAGTGTCACTTTGGCCCAAGTCACACTTACCGGTAAGTGTTTCTATAAGAACCGGGCCCAGAGCTACAATGAATCATCGACCCATAAATGATATATTGAATATTGATAATAGTGAAAAAATGTATAAATATCCGGCAGTGCTCGACATTATTTTACGATGCGCGACTATCCATATAGGCAGGCAATAAGCACAAACATACTTAGCTCACAGACGCAATGTTATTGCTTGTAGTTCCTCATTTCGTTAGAAGTTCACTGAACAGGGATTGGCAGCAAAGCAACCACGGTATATCTAAGCTAAATTTATTTATCATGCTTATTGGCCTCAGTGTAAGTACGGTACGTAGAATATGTGGCTATAACTTCTAGAAGATGATAGGAAATGCCAAGAAAAGCTGTACCTTTGCAGAATACATGACTTCTACCGGCGCAAGGGTCACGCGGGTACCGCCGAGCCGCGTTTCTCATTTGTGACGTCTGTCCGGCCATCAGTCTAAAACCGTCTTATTCCGGAAATGAAACTAGCTCCGCAGCTGGCCATGGGACGGTACGCGACCGTGCTGTCGTCACTCCTGGGCCCGTCCTCACCGCCCGCAAGCGTAAACCACGTCGCGGGCAGCGTACAACTTACGAAAACGTCAAATTAGAAGCGCATCACGCTCCACCGCCGCGCCGCCGCTTTTCGCCTTGGTTTCTGTCGACGGTCTTTGCGCAGCCGCTCAGGTTCCCACAGCAGCTGGTCGGAGAGGAAGGTTTTATCGGGGATGAGCAGCAAAATATGGTGTTGGAGAGGATCTCAGGGCGGCAGGGTCGCAGGTGCGTGAACGACGAACTCACCGTCCGAAATCGCCGTCCAAACGCCGATTCCGCCGTCTCGACCGATGGGTTCGAACTTCGAGATGGTGAAGATTAATACCAGATGAGAAGTCTCTAAGATGCCGAGGTGCATTGCAACGCAGTGGTGTGTTTAATCGCATTCACGGCCACCCAAGTTTAGAAAACTCTCAGCTGGAGCCTGGATCCTTTTATGCTCGAACGCCAACAGAATGCTCAGAACCCTGACTTTTAGTTCACTACGGCAAACAGGAGGAAAAGTTCCGCCTAGTTCGGAATCGCCATGCATAACATGTCGTCTCCACACGTTCAGGGCCGTCTTTATCTATGCCTATAGTTCGACCGAGACGGCCTTGGTCTCCATCCCGACTGGGCAGGTCGCCGGTCAGCACCGCGGCCGAGCCACTGACATCCACCTCCCTGCCGCTGACAGACCTACCGGCGGACGGCAACAACGATAAAGACCGGCTTCCAAGAACAGAACCGATTAAAAGCTAGCGGATTGCTGGGGCTCACGCCTTTCAGAGCCTTCAAACGGCTATTACAGACATTCGACCAGCGGTCACAACCACCCCACACACCGTCATAGCGGTGGAGATTGTGATCATCGTTGGGTCTGTCATGAATCGATGTGTACAGTTACATACCTACCTACATTAGTTAAGATCTCGTGTAAAATTTGATTGAAAACCTTTCCGGAATAAGCATTAAAACCTAGGCCATTTTTTCAATTAACTGCCTGCTACCTATGTGTTGAGACTTGAGACCCCCCCCCCCCCCACACACACACCCATTTCTGTCTAATCGTATCAGTAGGTATCTGTAAGAGAGTTAAGCCGGCTCAAATCGTCTTAAGCAAATCCGCTCCGTTAATACTTCTCTGTCTGAGCTACAAACAGGGTTCGTATGCTTTTTGCGTCGTGTTTACCGCTTTTTGCGATTTTCGTTTTAATTCCATTTTGGCCTAGAGCCGCGAGTTACATAAGTGAACTGTGCTGTGCCGAATGATTTCAACTCAGCAGGCTGATCTGAGGTAAACAGGGTCACGTCCTTCGATCCAATAAGGAGCATCTGACAGACGGGATACCTATTAACCCTGCGATTTCATGATTGGTGAAGTGGACAAAGAGCTGGTGCCATCAATCATGATAATTGATATAACCATTTCTTTTTATTACTGGTGCAATTATGAACTGCAAAAGTAAGATTATTGGTTTATGACCCCTCTTACAATCATAGGCGAGCATAGCATATGCATTCCGCCTGTCCTGGCACTTCCCGCAACTGTTGGCCGCAACTGTCCTGCTGGATTGTCCACCGTGCGTCGGTGATGAGATTTCAGCGGCTCGGCGTTTCTTTGCAGCACGACTCCAACAATGGAAGCCCCGGGAAATCAGTTTTCTTTTTCTGGCGGTCGGCGCTAAGCCGCGTTTCACCCGACGTGCCTGCCGTGCTAATTGTTACACTACGAGCAAAACAGCGCCGCTCCGACTGTTAAATGTTATCCGAGACCCTCGGTGGTCACTCAGCTCCGAAGGTGAGGTGAAGAGACGGCATAGGCGGGGCCCCGTGGCCACTCTGATTGGAATACTTGGGGAGCTGTGGGGGCTATAAAAGCGATGAGCAACCAAACAGCGAAGACCGCGACTTCATCGGTTTATATTCAACGATAATTGTGATGCAATCTGATGACCAAAGCTGTGTGGAAATCGAAATAAGTGTTGTTTTATGTTTCTTTGCAGTACTGCGTGGCGTGTGGGCCTCAAGTAGGTATGTGTGTACATAACGTTCGGTGCCTTTATGTTACTGCAATGTCACAGGAACTTGCTCGGTGCCTCAACACTTGCTTTTTCTCGGTGGCTCGATCAATTCTTAGCAATGATACTGCATATATATGATATTGATATGCAACGCGCTTTGTAGGTCGCATTTCGATTGAAATTAAAACGCTTCGTTAATATCGTCATAAAATAACTGATAACATAGCAAAAACATATAGATCTCTCTCGCCACTCACCAGTACAATGCAGAAGAGCACCTTTCACTGTTGGCGAATTCAATTGACCACTGGCAAGTCCCCAGTTTGCGGGTTCGCTGCGTGAATATTCCAACTGCAGCTGAGGACCGGCTTTCATTATCTATATCCACCACGCCGTTAACGCTGTGATCTACGGCAGCCCGCCGGTGATGAGATTGCAGTTCAACCTTCCATTTTCGGCCCCACGCAGTGTAAATAGGAGAAACTTAGCCGGTGCTTCCGCCGCCCGGCTCCAATTCCTCTGCGCGTGTCGCCCGCATTTCTCTGCCAATTCATCTCCCTCGCTAATTGCGGCACATTCTCGTGGGGAAACACCAGAAAGCGGGCTCGTTCTTTACGAGCTCGTGAGCGACTGTTCTTGGCTGAAAATTCTGAGTAATTGGAGTACAGTTAGCCCAAGAGAGCACCTGAATAACGGATACCGAGAGCGTAAGATGTCGAGTATACTCGACGGAGCTATAGCTTCACATATGGTTTCCAGGAAACCTCCGAAGTCCAAACACAGTCAGGTCACAGGCCTCAGACATCGTATATTATTCACAAAGACGACAGGCAATATTTGTCTCGGAGGTGATCACTAGGAGGGCCCTCCGCGGTCCGAAGGGCGCGTGCTATGCGGAGCACACATCATTCACACCGGTGTGATTCCTTTCCGCTGCAGTGGTCGGCCGCCGGCAGCACTCCCCGCTCACTCCACCACTTGCTCTGAGGGACAGAAGAGAGGGATACCGGTCAGCTCCACAAGGTAACAGGGCGACGGACGACGGTCAGCATGCGGTATGCTTAGAGAGGGGAGGTTTCAGGCGAAACATCTGTGAAAAAACAACATGTTACCACTTACGAGTCTTTAGGTACTTCATTGAATGCAACGAGTTTTGGGATCTATGCTCAGTGCACAATACACCTACCCACGTATGTTGGTATAGTGTAATGTCATTTGTAACGGACAAGTGTACTTTTTATTAACATAAATGTGAGCGCGCTACCCCAAAAAAGACATTCAATGACGGGCGAACTAATAAAGCGGCCAGTCAACATCCTAAAAACACCTTCAAACGCAAACACGCATCTAAAGAAACCACATCGGCCCATCTGACCCATATGACTGCACAGGAGGCGGCCGTGGCCGACAAAGTGCGACGAACACACCACTGGAGATGGGGAGTGGGAGCAAACAAATAATCCGCCTGCATCGACAGCGGGTTCGCGGAAGTCTGCAAAACAGTCGCTCTCGGGACGCGCACACGGCGGTCGGCAGCTATTGAACGCCCACGTGGGAGAGAGAGGGCGGCCGACAACTGGCAGCAGAGCTCAGGTCGCTGGCTGACAGAGCTCGGATCGCTGGATGACAGAGCTCGGATCTCTGGCTGACGGAGCTCCGGTAGCTGGCTGACAGGAACTCGGGTCGGTGGCTGACAGGAGCCCTGATCGCTGGCTGACAGAGCTCGGATCGCTGGCTGATAGAGCTCCTTGAGTAGCTGGCTGACAGGGCTCGGATCGCTGGGTGACGGAGCTCCGATCGCTGGCTGACAGAGCTCCTCGAGTAGCTGACAGAGCTCCGATCGCAAGCCGTCCTACAGGCCAGTGAGAGGCAGGCGAACTACACAACAACCATGTTCCGGTCATGACAGGGCCGCAGGCTGTGTCGAAGGTCGCTCGGTTCGGAGTAAGGAAAGACGTTGCTCGATATAGCAAGATGCAGTGTAAGTCTGTTATCAGGACTAAGAGGTGGAGATGAGACTTTGTCCTGGGAAACCCCGCTTATTGAGGCGAATGACAGTGATGTGCACTGCGCAACATTTACAATAAACGCCTGCAAACTAAAAGTTTTCTCATTTGTTCGTTTGTTGAAAACAATCGTAACAAGGAGGCGAGGACAATATTACGCGCAGCTTCAGGCTCCGGGCTTACAAAACCCCGTTCCTAGGTCGCTGTATGTCGACTATGCTCCAAACATTCATCAGGGTTAGTGCAATATCTGCCACAAGACACACACACTATCGCAAACAAGGAGTTAGTTGAAAAAAAATGATATGTTCGGAGCAAAAGTACACGAAAAGATGAATGACAAGTTTTCTTAAATAATATATGTCAGTAAAAATGCAGCCTGGCATTCAAATTCGGATGCACTGAATATGAGCACCAGACGAATAAATAAATATCAAATCAAATCCAACTGCAAAGTAGTCACCACTCACATGCCATGCTCGTCAAGCAATACTGTAACCAGCCAGCCCACTTCGTAGAATGAATGTTCGGCGTCACAAACGAAAAACAGGCTCTCAGACAGTCAGGCGGCACTGTTAAACTGCTTAAACTAACTGAGGCCTGTTAGAGTATGATGCATTTCTTCAACAAATTACCCACAAAAACCAATGCAGTGTGGGAAGTGTTGCACTGCGGAACTTCACAAAACGTCTTTTGCTGAATGATAGACTGGGCAGACGGTAATAAACATTGATTATTTGTAACACAGCATATTGAGACCTAAAGAAAACGCGGTGTTCTATGATCACCAATCGTGTGTAATTTAATGCTTGCGGAGCCTGAGCTGGTGAAATCAATCTTTGGCATATTTTGGAATGATCAAAAAATCCCTTTAACAGTCTTAATAAACTGAGCTTCTTGCAGAAGCTGCATGATTTACAGATCGCCTAAGGAGAAAGGCATGTCCACTGGGAGTAATACAAAGTGCTAGGCTTTGGGGCAAGAAATGTATCCACTGCCTTTCCTCGAAAACCACACCAATGCAAGGCATTGTCCTCAGATTCCCGGCACTTGTCTCATGCAATTGTTACACCGTCTACATTCCTTGCCAGTGTTCGCAATCGGAACTGACGAGTGAATGCATATTCAGTAGGTGCGCCCGACACGCGTACTCGAGTTGCGGGTCGATCGCTCGTCGTACCTCGGGCAGAACCGAACGGGCATCGGGCGCGACCTCGCCTGTACAGCGAACCCCAATTTGACACTCATGGCAGCATGACACCGGATAAAGGAACAGACCGCGCAAAGACGACGAAGGCGGCGCTGCGGCGGGGAGCGAGCGGCGCCGTGTCGGTCTCCTGGCGGCGGTGTCGCCTCGCACACAACACCGTCATCACTCCTGGTTGGCGCCGGCCGGGGACCGGAAGTGTCGCCGCTACACGACCCTCCGCCCGGGTCCCAGACGCCGCGGTACACCCACCGGACCCCATCTACAGTGCGGGCGACACGCGGAGGCAATAAGCCAGCGTCTACCGCACTCGGTGCGGCACCGGTAACAAGGGCCACCCTGCACAGCACCCAGCCCGGCCCGGCCACTTGGCATGCGAGTCGCCGGCGCTGGTCGCGAGGGGCCTCGTTATCCGAGGATTTGCGGGCCCCGCACGCTGCGAACGTCTGACTAGACGGTGCCAAAAAGTGAGCCCCGGATATATCCTGCCTCGCGCGAAAGATGCCGGAATAACTCTCGGGGACTAGGGAAGGCTATATTGGGCCACCGCTTGCCAACTTTTAGAAACTATTGCGGGAGGTACGATGAGAGCAGCTTATTAACAATACACGCCAATTAAAGGACCAAGCATAAAGTTTTTGGTATTCTACCCTTTGCATTGGAAGAAAGGGGTGTGGTCATTATGAATATAAGACTGTTTAGCATCAATATTAAGCTGGTAAAGGAAAAGGTCCATTAATCCTTCAAAATTAGTTAGAAATGAGTCGACGGTTCAAGGGCAGATATGGTCAAAAGAAAACAACGTTTTTCTCGATCATTAGCTGAACGATCTTTAACTATAGTTATCAAGTTGTTAGTAAATCGCAGTCGTTAGTTAGATGCAATAGGAAAAGCACAAATTGTTACCAAAGCGTCTAGTTGTCACGAAGGCCACACATGTTAGTTCAAACTTGTTAGGAAATCGCACACGATTCATCTAGCTATTTTCTCGATGACATAACAAAACACAAACACACTAATCACTGCAAAAAACACTCTGTTACCTCGCCACCATGTTACAGGGACTTGCCTGAAAACGGAACAGATCGGTCAGAATGAGCACGGGCAAATGTCGGAAGTAACCTAGCACATAAGAGATACACCGGTTATATAACGCCACAATCCTCAGAGAATATCGCCTAGGGTTCACAGTTCTAAATGTCACAGAGCTATGAACATCGCTAATTACGAACTTCTTAATTAGGAAGTTAGTAATTAGGAAGTGCTAAGAAAAACTAAGAGGCATCGGGGTTTACCGTTTCAGAGCGAAGGAAACATTCTTCCACAGTCCCAAGGACTAATTAATAAGGAACGTGGTAATTATTACAACGCACTGTTCCGAAAACATACTTATTCGGTCACCAATTCCCCACCAGGCTGTAAATTCACTCATTATTTCGTGTCCCAGTAGTGCTGACACCATGGACGAATTTGAAGGAGTGGAAATCAGTATTTGCTGGTCAGGGTTGCACGGGTTCATGTTCATCTATCTCCCAGGCTGTCTCCTCCGCGTGCCGACTGCATGCTGGGCTTGCCGACAGTCAATCTGTTCGTTCTGGCGTGACCTTTGCCCCAGATGGTGGGTTCACCACCGCGCCGACCGGGACTCCACCCGGCTGTTTCGGCTCTCTTCTGCGCTCCAGTCGGGGTGAGCGGGCGCACGAAACGGAACCCGACAACAGACTGAGAACCAAAGGAAAAAAACGGAGGACTGAAAACCAATGAAATAAAAATGAACGACTCAGCAACACCAAGCGAGCATTTCTATCATCAAATGCGTTTATGTTACGAATAATAATTGTAATACTGGAATCACGGGAGAACGACGGATAGCAACCCCGGAACCACTCCAGGCCAGGCGTTTGAAGTCAAACTGTTCTGAACACAAACAGGAGTCATTGCACCAACCAGTACACAGTCCAATTCATCCCAGATGTAGCGTGCGTCATTTCCCGAGTCTTTAAAGACCAACTCCCGCTATTGACTCTGGCCATTGACCGCGCGGCCTGCCCGCCGCCTTCGGCCGGAAGTTGCCACCTAGGCGGCACTCGCTCGCCGGCTTCATTCCGCCTTCCAAACGGGCGGCCCGTCTCGCGGCGCGCTCGTCGACCCTCGTCGTCAGTGAGCCGTCGGTGCCGACGATAGAGCCCCGCCCCCGGTGGCGGCTCCGGCTCGCTCCGCGGCCCGTCCGTTAGCCCGGCTCCGGCCGCGCTGACCGGTCAGACACCGCGGCCGATGGACCGTCACCGGGAGCCGGCGCGGCGCCGTTCAGACGCCATCAGCAGATGACGGCCGAATCGACCAAACTCGGCCGCACCATCGCCGCCAGAAGTTTGGAATGCACGTCACGAAACAGGCACAAATATACGACGTATTCACCTACTGAAACTGCTGAGGACGGTGAATCCAATCGCGATCGCCGATAAACACCAAAAGCGGGGCCTCCCATTCGGAGTTCAGCACTTTGGCAACTATGCTCGATGTTATCATAAACTTACCCCTAGTGGGCCGACTCACTCAGCCTTGTCAGCACCGGCAACTGAGCCGAATGACGTCATTAGTTTCGTGACGTCACTAGCTTCAGCCGCCCAACCTCAGCGAATATCGTGAGGATGACCGAAGACTGGGATAGCGGGCCAAGCCCGCCTCGTCCCATATGCGGCCGGCGTCCGCTCTGCCGCTAACTCGGCGCGCATCGGCCCGTTTCAGGGCGACCAAATGTCACTCAGTCGGACGTCATTCTCACCGCTCGGGACACGCTCACTGATCGCATAGCGTCGAACAGACTCGCCGCCAGAGATAACCGGCTCAGTGGCATCCGGCGACGCGCTGCGAATGCCGAAAGGATGCGCTCGGCGCTACTTGCTATTTTGGAGTTTCAATTCGTTGCTTAGCATGACAACAGAGACGTGATGCACTACCTATAGAGAATAGAAAGAGTAAGAATCAATCAAGGAAAGGTATGGTAGAAGTCCTAGCTAATCTAAAGATAGGTAGTTAATTGATAGCGGACGAGATCATAGGACATGTCGCCACTTCCCTGAGCAAATTCTAAATAACAGCGAAATTCATTCCGAATTACATTTTAAAATTCACCGATCAAAAACCAAGAAAGCGAGACCCCACCACCGTACTGCTAGAAGCCACACAAATTTCACCTACGGCGAGCGACAACAACAGGCACCGAGACGTGTGCTCGGCCTCTGCGGCCGTTGTAAGGCGCGGTTCACACCGTCAGGGGACGCACCGAGCCACCGATGCATCGTCGTTAGGCGCGGTTCACAGTACACTACCTCTCGGGACACGGCGAGCCGCACCGGCGACATCCGGTGGGGCCGACACCGACTGATGTATCGGTGTGAACTATGCCTAGCAATGAGGCGCCGTTTCCGTTTCGGGGTTTCACGGGGTGTGTGTCGCCTCGGCTACAATCTACGACGGGATGCTCAGAGGGCGGCTCGACGGGACCAATTGTTCAGCCAAAGCCCCAGGCAACGCAGAGGAGCACCGTCGTGTCGCTTCTAAGGTCCAGTCGAAAGAGAAAAGATAGTTTTTCATGCGGACAGAATTTGTGACCACTATGCTTCTTGCTCCCAAAGTAGCCTTATCGAACAAGACCTAGTAATTTGATGACAGTTCTACAAGTTGAGTGCCTTTGGTTTGAGTGCTAGCTGCTTTGTCGCCAGGAAAAGTCAACTGACAAGTGACAGACACGAGATATAGTTACACATCATCAAAGGTAGAAGACCAAGGAAACGAAATAAAATAAAAATACAAGAACGCAGAGTGCTTAAGCATTAAAAACACATTTGCCTTTGCCCTTTGTAAAATGGATGCATTGCTTCTGAACAAATATCAGGCCCGTGTTTTACTTCAAAGTAACATTTTCATCTGTTCCTTCATTTGATCCTGTTGCGCCAGGGTAACAGAGACCAATAACCGGTTCAACGATAGCATGTCCTCAATAAAACAATGTCTGAAAAGTAATGTTTTGACATTGTTCCAAAGCCTTTTCTGTTACATAACCTCTTCACGAGAAAACGTCTCAATTTACAACACCTCAATCCGCGCTCGGCTAATCCCCTAAATCCGGGTAAATCCGGCGTTCCCTGTCAGCGGCGACGGGTGACGGCAGCGAACCAGTCCAGCGCGCCTGTCCTCCCGTCACATTAGCAGAGGCCGGCAGCACATTGGCGACACTGCTGACTGATTTACCACCTCTGGGTGCGAGGCCGATATTTCACCGGCTCCGCCGCGCCCGGCCGGCGTCCAAACGGACCGGCGATTGCCGACCGTGCGATGGGACAGCTAAATCACGCAGGATAACGGCCCGAGCTGTGTCGACCAGCCGCGCTGTTCCCGTCCGTCAGCCGGCTTCGGCGAACTCCGAGCACATAATCGCCATTTGCCACCCAATCGCCGGTATGAGGGATGCCGCCGCTGCACGCGCGTCATAGGGTGACCGCACCATCAAACAGTAAACACGCCATTCGGGAGCAGCGCTGAATGTGGCGTCAGGCCGGAATGGCCGCAGATGATGGCAGGTCGGGATTATGTCCGACTGTGGGGACCGAGGGCAGACGGCAGTGTTCGGGGCGGAGCGGGCGTCTCCGCTGACCAGCCGACGCCCGCAAACAAGCTGTTCCACTCGACTGGAGTTGACAGCGGCGGACGACGGGCCGTGTTTGCGGCTGAGCTGCGGACAGAGCTGTTAATTTGCTGGCATTTTACGTCACAATAATTACGTGAGTCATTTCGCATACATCGGGAAGGCCGTTTGACCCCTAAAATAATTGAATGTAGAGAGGTTACATTTTAGCCGAAAGTAAGAAGAACGAAAAAATTCCATTTTACAGACACCGTGCAGACACATTTAGGAACTTAACCGAGACAGGAGCTTCAAAAATAGCATGATGGATAAGAAGTAGCATCCAGGATAAGATGAAAAAACAGTGAAACATTCCTAACTTCCGGACAAACCAGCCAGTCACGGCCGCAGCCGCAATATCCTCAGTCAGCGGAGCCCACACCTGCGAGTCTCCCATCTCTCTCCGGGAGGGATCTCACACCTGGTCGGTCTCACCGACAGCCGCGATACTGGCGTTTCCTTGCACGGTCCCGCCCTACCGCCTCCCTGCCAGACGGTCCAAGACTGCCGAGGAGCTACTGTGAAACGACAGCTACCCTCTCCTATCAGAAACATCACCCGACTGCCGCTCTCCTCCAGACGTCAGCTTATCGCCGACGTGAGCTCAAGTGAAACTATCAAAGACATCAGCGCTCCACCCGCCGACCGGTTACCTACTGCTGTGGTCCACTGAACATCAGCTCCATCAATCCATCATCTTCTGAAGCTTCCGACATGAGCCCTACAGTTCTGCTTGCGTTTCTCGTCGCCGCCGTCGCCGGCGCCGATGCCGCGTGTCCACCCGACTGGGTGGAGCTGGACGGCGACTGCTACTGGTGGACCCCCTCCTCCATCAGCGGCTCTCAGCTGTCCGACGCCTGCCGCGCCGTCCTCACCGACGCCGTGCCCGTGTCCGTTCACTCTGCCGCGCAGAACTCCCAGCTGGCTGAGAGTCTGGTGCACGGCTTCCCAGTCTGGCTGGGTCTTTACCGCCCCGACGGCAGCGGCGCCGAGTTCGCATGGACTGACGGCTCGAGGCTCGACTTCCAGTTCTGGGCGGACGGTCAGCCGGCCGGCGACGGAGAGCTGTGTGTCTACATCAACGCCGACCCGCAGACGGGCACCTGGGCCGCCTGCGACTGCCAGCAGTGGATGCTGCCCTACATGTGCCGGCTGCCTGGCGGTGCGGCGAGCAGAGCCTGAGAGGGAAAACACCACCCGGCCGCGCGGGGCTTCCGCGGGGGGGGGGGGGCTGACATTTGAGGAGCGTTCAGAGAGCCGTCACTCGAGGAGGGTTGGGTGCTATTGGTGAGCCGACATTTCGGCAGCGTGTGGTGTTTGAGGACAGGCAAACAGAGCGAGCGGTGTGGAACGCGCTAGCTGATCGCCCTAGAACGCACTAC